GACTTTTCCACTGATATCTTGAATACTATTGTAATAACTCAATTAATTCACAGTCTCTATTAATTCCCGCACCTATTTTATTTTCAAACGCTAATTTTTAAATATATCCTTTTAAATCACAGCGTTCGAAAACATGTTTAAAATTGTATCCTATTAATTCGCGGACCAGAATAAAGTGGATAACTCAGAATATATTGCATGAAGACATTAAACATATACATTTTGTTTGAGGTTTTTATGTTATCAGTACTTGGTGTAGCCGCAATCGCAGATGATCTCCGTCATCACAGCCTTTCAGTTAGCAATTTTATTCTATGACATCATTTATGGTGCGTAAATTGACGTTTTTGATTGGTCGGGCGATTGACCTTGTGCCACATTTTCATTATTCTTCAATAGATGAAATTGCTTGACAAAAAAAAACAATCATATAAACAATGAACACATAGCTACAAAGTAGCCATTAACTTGCGCTGTTTTTATTTTTTGGGCAGTACATCAGACTTCACTACTGACGACCTGTACGACTAATACTGGACTCTGCCGTAAATTCGCCCTTCCAAAAAATTGCTCTGGACGGTTTCACGGCTGGTGGACCCTTATTTGGGGTTAAAATTTTCAAAAAAATGTTCATCAAATATTTTTAGGGGGCTTATATTTTCATTGAAAAATACACCTACGCCGATTTTCAACACCGGCAGTTGGACCACCCAAAACGAAAGAAACTATTGCAGAAGCTAATCTAAATTTGCTAATTAAAATTTTTATACATTTTTTTCTCTCGCTGGAATGAAAAGTAGACAGCACATCTTCCTCCAAAAAAATCACATTAACAAACATCAGGCACCAAATAGAATTATTTTGTTTCATTTTATCAGTAACGAAAATATATTCTGAACGAACTGCAACCGCATTGCTTAGCAGCAAATGATCGCAGTATCGCAATCCGGTCATGCTGCGTTTTACCATTGTTGATTATTACCTAGTAATAATTATAATAACGTGCAAAATATAAATTTGTTGAATTGTTATGAAATGCAAATAAATTTTAACTTATTTCATCGTAAGCGAATGATTCCAATCGCATTTTCAGCGCTCGATGCTGTAGAAATGAATATATCCGCCATGTTTGACTTAAGCGGTGTTATTTGACAGGTCAAATCGATAATTAACTAATTATTGAATGCAGCACGGAAGAGATTTGCCAATGTTGTTGTACGATCTTTTGGCTTTGATTTTGATGGGAAAATGGCATGATTTGTTTTTAAATAAAAAAATTAGTTGGTTTCAAAAGATATACTGAGCATTTGAAGAATTAACATTGTTAACTCTTCTACATATTTGCATATCTGATTTGCATATTTACTTTTCATTTTACCTGTTGTACTTGTTTGTTCCTATCTGGTTTTCTTGCTGAGACCAGGATGGAAATTGCTATAAACTTGAAATTGCCAATTTATGTCCATGTCAAAAACTGATTAAATTATATGTTGCAACTTTCAAATGACAACAAATGAAGGCAGTGTCATTCATGACTTCTTTGATTGAATAAATTTTTACTGCTTGGAGGCCATTTTTTTCCTCATTAAATCTAAAAAAAAAACAAGCTTTTTTTAGCCTTCGCAAACGAAGTCTGCCAAAGGCTTATAGATTGGGTTCCCTCCATCCGTCTGTCTCTTACCTCTTTGATATGCTCTGTCCAATGTTTTTCCAAGTTGGTGCATATGTAATTCTCAATGCCATACATATGCACGCCAAGTATTTTTTTGATTCGCCAATGTTTCATTGTGTTTTTCTGTGATTTTCAACATTTTACTAGTAAAAATGCCGGACAAATCTGAGTTTTAACGACATCTCGCAAGAGAACTGGCATACCGTGTTGCGTATGCGCCAGTCTAACCGCTGAGAAAATCAGCTTCGTTTTCGTCTGAAGAAGGTAAGGTAAGAAACTGTGGTTATTGTATTTATTATGAACTTTGATTTATCCTTTTGTGTCCTGACTTTAGTGAGAAACTAGCGCTCGCACAGTGTCACACTTTGCCAAAAAAACAGTCCTGCTATTATTGTAAGAACTGGTTATGAAACGTGTAAATCGAAAGTTTATCTCGTCATTTAGGCTTGGGAATAACGTTTGGCATATAAAATACTGGAATAATAAAAATTTAGTTTAGAACACGCTGATCGTTATTCTGTTATGCAGGATTGCTAATTCCGGTGTTTATTGGCAACTGCTGGCTGATTAGAATGAAGTCCGAAAACGGGGACTTATAATTCGGTCTCCGTCCGTGCGTCCGTCCGGAGTCGTATCTCAGAATCCCTTGGACCGATTCTGTTCATTCTTTGCATGTGCCTAGTACTTTATCTGGGACATATGCACATGCAGTGGTTTAACGATTCGATTCAAAAGGGCCGACTATCAGCCATCTTGTTTTTGGAAAATGTTGTATTTTGGACATGCTTTGTCAGTTTTCATTCAAGTTTGATACATAGATTATACATGTTAGGATACATGTCCATGACAATTTATTTCACAATTGGATCAAAGATGGCCGACTGGCAGCCATCTTGTTTTTTGAAAATGTTGTATTTTGGACATGCTTTGTCAGTTTTCATTCAAATTTAGTACATCGATCATACATGTTAGGATACATGTCCCCGACCATCCGTGAGTTCCTGAGTCTGTCCGTCCGTCCGTGCTTCAGTCTGTCAATAGTAATATTTCAGAATCCTGTAGACCGATTTTGTTCATTCTTTGCATGTGCCTAGTACCTTATGTGGGACATATGCACATGCAGTGATTTAGTGATTCGATTCAAAATGGCCGACTAGCAGCCATCTTGTTTTTTGAAAATGTTGTATTTTGGACATGCTTTGTCAGTTGTCATTCAAACTTGGTACATAGATTACAGTACCCATTTCGCCAAACCTCCCGCCCGCTTCCGGATTTCGATCACTTTTTTTTTCGCTCGCTTTGTTCAATTCGACCGCGCAATTTCCGCTTTTTTTTCGACCGCGCAAATCCGGAAGTATCCGCTCGCGCAATCGCTCGCTCGCCTGACAGCGCAACTGCCCGCATTTACAGTTCATTACCTACTGCTTCATGTACAAGTGTATCATTTTTGTTTTTTATGATGTTAAAATAAGAATAAATACAATCAGAAATTTATAGAACGACCGTTGAAAAAATACGGTGGATCACACGGCCATATAAAATTGGTAATAATACATACGCGTAGTAATAATGTCCACCATAAACAAGATCGAACCAAACATGTGAAATCAAATACGACACTGACACAGACACAACTAATATGAAATAAAACCATTCTATTTTTGGTGGAGAGCGAAAAGTGTCTACTGTAGAGT